ATTATACCCAATAAATCTGGAAAGCGGTGGCAGGCTATCCAGATTGAATACAAAACAATGCCCTATATCCAAATGGAAAGGTGAGGGTAGAAATATTGTCCAATCAAGTTTAAATTGAGGCCTAATATGTTTCATTCCATGGAAATTGTAGATAAAGCAAAGCTCTGGAATTAGGTTTCGTAATTTGATAGTAAAAATGTGGTGACAGAGGCTCTAACTTCATGACTAAGGTATTATAGGGATTCTTTTGAACTATGCATTTGTCACAAGTTAATATATTTCTATAAATGAACAATCGATAATTGTCATGCATTGTGAGGTCTTTTGTTGCCGATTGGGAAGATGTGAAAGCTGGCTTTGAGTACTAAAACTCAGTATTAACCATTGAAATTCAAAATTTCTGTTAAGCTACTATAAACAATTTCTGTGAAATACAAGTTAGTGAGTGCATCAGTGCAATGTCTTGTCTTGCATACGGTATATAAAAATACACAGAGCATGGTGGTCTCAACATGATTTTTGTTGTTGCAGTTTGTTTGCTTTTGATGAATTTGTGCCCTTATTCCCCAAAGAGTCCCAATCTAAAAGAAACTACTAGGAAAAATTGTTAGTGAGTAACTTTGTACTCTACAGTCAGTCGGCAAGCCCGCAAAAAGTCGCCTCTTTCATAGAACTCTCTGCGGCGTTGACCTCAATTTGACCCCGTACTGGCGATTTGAACGTGTGTTTAGAAATCCTTATAACTCGGTCAAAATGTATCCATTTGTTGAGATTTAAGCATTTTTATAAAGAGTAAGGATGAAACTGCCATAATATTATTTTTGTTTAATTTTAAAAATTAAATAAATGGACGAAAACTACTGGTAAATTTACCGAAGAAATACATTTCATTTGTGTGTAGGGAAAATCCATTTTTTCCTTCAATTAATCTCTGAGCCTGCGGATTTGAACATTATTCCCGTGAAAAATATATTAATCTAGCTAAAAATATTCACTTTTATGAAGATTCTTGTTTAATCGGGTCAAGAGCACGCTTTTCCCCCACCTTGTCCACCTTCAAATTAGTTTAGATTAGATCGTGGAACCGCGAATGAAATCCGATCTTCTGATTGGTCTATCTCCGCTTACTCACTGACGTTATTTTCATCGGCAACGATTCGGTTTCGATTTCCTCTAAAATATCGCTTTTGAGAGAGTTTTTAACGAATTACTTTCTTGATTTGTATCTTAAGACAAATTTTCTTTTATTTCATCGTAAATTCAAAGTTTAAATCTCAGTAGGTATTTTCTTATAAGCAGAAGTACCGATTGTCTAGTCCCATATAACCACTTTCATGGTAGGCAGCTCGTGTGTACCAACGAAGTCTAGCTCTAGCTCCGAGCTCTGTTCTATAGGGTCACGTTGACGTATGGCACATCTCATTGCCGCCGTTTATTTCATGGCAAAGTAATTACGGTTCCACACACAAATAAAAGGATAAACTATTCATGAAGGATTTAAGTTTTTAAGCATAATAAAGTAAGAAAGAGATGGGGGGGGGGGGGTCAGTTCATTTTATTTTTGTTATGAACTAGATCTATATCCCAGCTCAAATTATCCGACAAGCAAAAAACCCAATGCCCCCACACCCTATGATTACTAATGAAAAACGGGTCCTCCTGAAATACCCTCCCTAATTCACCACTATATATCTTTCGATTAAAATTTACTTTTGATTGATATATTTAATTTGTTTAATCAAATTTTCCTTCATTTGAGATTGCTTCTTAATGTTTTTTTGTTGTTGGAATCCTTCTCATTCTTATTTCAGTCTTCATGTATTTAATCTCACGCTCTCTCTCTGCACACCATGGTAGGATCCCGGGGGGGGGGGGGGGGGGTGGCGTACACCCCCTATTTTTGCCAAGCAATATTTCTTTGATGAAAAATGCAAAAGCTCCACACCTGCATCCCCCACCCCCTTTCTCAAAACTGTGGATCCAGCCCTACACACTGTACATCTTCTCGTACTATTCCAACCACTCCTCACTCTCTCTCTCTTTCTCTCCCTCACTCTCTTCGTTTATTCCATCTTCAATCATCTGTCAACCACTCTCCACTTAACTAGACTAAAAAACAAGGTGTTTGACAGCAACACTATATAAAAAGGAGAAAAAGAATAAATCTAACTCGTAAACATAAGTTTATGACATGAATATCAAATGGTATACATTGCGTACAACAAATAAGTGGCAGGTCCCTGAATATCACACACATTAGATTACGCAGACGTGGCTCTAACTTTATAAAACAAAGTCAGCGTACATGAAAATTCTCACTTCCATAAATGAACAACAAGAATGTTAAGTTCAGTTAAGTTAAGTTGGAATGCAGATAAAGCACACAAGTATACAAGTAAAATATGCACATACAATTTGTAAGAGACAAATGTATGACAAAAATATTAACAGATCGACCAAATGGCATAATAATTCTATCTCTCCCCCGACAAAATAAAAGATATCAGTCTATCATGATATGGTTCAAAATACATTTTCTTCAACAAAATAATGCTGATAGTATTCAATGAGTGTTAATCGCAGATCCAGACACATAATGGAATACAATGGCAGGAGTATTTCTTTGGCAAGTCTATTCCAGCAAGATAAGGATAGGAGTTGCACCATATGAAAAAAAAAAAAACTATATAAATACTTACACAATATAACTTACACATATTATATACAATATCTTGTCAGAGATCCACTTTGAATAGATGTAGGACACTTTCTTTTGTACAAAAATGTTAAAGTAACAGACTACATGAAGAAGACAAAAAATTCTTCACACATACATTACACAGCAGAATATAATATGACACCTTAAATGCATTTCTCCGACAAGTTAAATTTAGTCTAGCAAGATAATGCTCTCATATATACCTGTATAATGTCAAAACAAATATGTATTGATAACTTTCTTCACTCAAAATAACTTAAACATGTTATATGTAAATGACATGTCATAGTAACAGTAGCAAGGCAAGAAATCTTCTTCAGTAACGGTAAGTAAATGTTGAAAGCAAACAATAGTATCATCACAAATTCTTCTGTGAAAACATGGCAGAAGACATCTAACTCTTTGGCAAGTTTCCTTCAGCAAGTTAGGGCTACTGGTAGGTATAAACCCTGCAATAAAAATGTATATTTACATACTTGTTAAACACACCTTATGTTGTTATATAATATCATAAGCATTGATCCTATTACAAAACGTCCTTAGCCTAATTGACTTTACATAGTCATAGTCAACATAGTCATGAGGCCCTTTTGGCACAAGGCAGACAAATTATCTTGTTATCGAATCATAAGAAAAAGAGGCAAGAAACAACTTTCTTAATTCAGAAAATGTTGACAGTAAACAATCACACTCATACAACATACATATGGTAAGAAAAGTATAAAATGACAGGAAAGACTTCTTTGGCATATTTCCTCCAGCAAGCTGGAACTAGGTTATGTATCTATAGTATACAAAGTAAAGTACTGTTGAAATACTTGTGCTGTGTCTCAAATCAATAAACTTGAAATTTACGTATATAAAATAGAATACTATGTACATGTACATGTTTACATCACACACAGGAAGAATGGGAACTGGCCTGTCCCCTAAATGGTTTCATTGTTACATATCTTAGCAAAATATAATTAAAATCTGCATGACCCGTAGTATAAAAAATGAGGTTGGGCAGACTGTCTCTATTTATTACACATCAATAAAGTTGATTTCCTCCGCATCGCCAGTATTTCATGTATCCGGTAAATGTCTGGTTGTTACGGGTGAATTACATATTTAGGTATTTCAAATACCACTAAAATAACTCGTCTTCAGACAGATCAGAGCATGTAAAGTGGTTATCGGTTACACCATCCTGAAAATCAGTATCTTGGTTTAACAATTCATCGACTACATGTACGCATTCATCGACTTCTTCATCGGTCTCTTCATCGTCATCATCGTCAGAGGATGAAGAAATTGAATCATCATGCAACTCTTCAGAAGGGATTGGAATATTAGTGCAATTTCTACATCTGCACCCTGGGCCACATAACTGATTATTCTTTTTGCACTTACACTGACGAGTTGAACATTTGTTTTTGCTGCAACCACAACCCCTAGTTAGATACATCATATTGTTCCGGACTTTCTCTAAATTTTCGTCAGTATCCCATGTAACATCTATAATTTGCTTTCCATTATCATGTATGACAACAAATCCATAACTGTTAATATCTGGATATTGAAAATTTGGTACAGTGCAGCTGTTCCAAACCTGACTAACCCAGCATGACCTCAGCCAATGAAATTTCAATGCAGAGTTGGAAGGCATTAGTTGGTCTTCGTACGAGCCAGTCCAAGATGCCTTTCTTACTATTTCTAAAGCATTGTAATGTTGCTGAAGGGGTGTTGCATCATTTACACTGTTAAATAATTCAAAAGGAGATTCAAAATTGTGCAATGAAGCTCTATTAGCCTTGTAATATACACACAAAACTAATCTATAAAAGGAGAGTAATCCTTGTTCAATGTTACTTTCAAGATCAGTACATGTTAAATTTCCTAATGTATTTCTTGTGGTTTCTCCGCAAATAAATGAGGAGTATTGCAAAAATGCTTTGAAAAAGGCACTCTTGCCCAGACGAGCAAAATAAGACACAAAGTCACATCCTGTACTAATATACAACATCTGCACACATAAACCTAAATTTGTTTGCTTTTCTACTAATGGAGACATGTCAGAGTCTGATGAAATAGCATCCTGTAAAGCATTCAAATTCAAATATCTTTCATCTCCTACCCTCGCTTTATACTGGATGCAGATTAGTTTGCCATTGAACTTTAAGGGTAACCCTATTAAACCCACATCTCGGTCTATGGAATATATTAGAATACTTGTGCACACAGTGTCGAAAACATGAAGCCATATCTGTGTATCAGATTCCTCATGGTTGTGTTTCAGGTGGTCTTCAATACCAGAGTTTGTTACTTTAGCTCCTGACCAATCTGGAAATGTATCAAGACCTACATGAAATCCACCAGAGGTGACAAATACTTGTCCCTCTTTTAAGTGAGGCTTTACTAAGTCTAAAAATTTTCTTGATAGATAACGGATCAGTGTGTGTTTATTGCGTCGACATTTCAAAAACTTTGACCAATTTGATGGGAGTGGTGTATTGTCATCTATATCTTCGAACACATTATCAATGTTTTCTTCATCATCACGTCTAGACCGCTCTATTCCTTTGGGAGATAAACCCTGTGTATTTACCTGATCAAAAAGAATACGTACTTCCTTGAACCCTTTCTTATAATATGACAATATCCATCTTGAAACAATGAATGAAACATATTCCTCAAAAACTCTAGTATGGGGAAGGGGAGCTGAATATATGATATTCATTCCCTCGCCTATAAAACATGACTCTGCAAATTCAATAGAAGGAGCATTAGTAACAACCTTGTACTTATCCACATAACGCTTCTCAAATATATCATAGATTATGTATTTGCTACCTTTGTGTGGCAAATTGTCATGTCCACATAATGCACGAGGTTTTGCTATAAATTGACATAAGGCACGAACTGGTTGGTTTTTTTCTGCAGAGTATGCAATAGTTCTTTTGTAACAAAGGGTTATCAATTTTTTTTCTTTTTCAAGACTTGTTATTTTTTTCCGTGAAACTTTAGGTTTTGAAAAGGTTTTTAAGGTGTGCTTATGAAGAGTTGGCTTTGCAATACTGTTATCTTTGAGAACCTGGGACTTGCAAAAAAAAGTGTAGGCATCAAAGCCGATTTTACGATATGAGAGAAGATCGTTCTGTTGGATGCTCGATGTAGATGCACCATTAAAAGCATGGTGTAGCACAGCATTTTGCTCAGGTGAAAACATGTCACTCTCTCCTACCTTCTTGTAGTAGCACACTACATTTGCAAACTCTGATTTGATAACAGACAATGACAAATCCCTATGAACAGGGTTGGAAACCTCAGAGAACTGCAACTGTGTACCAAAATTTTGAATTACTTTAGCTTGATATTGAATACTACTTGCAACCTTCTGCATATTCTTTGGCAAACCTCTACATAAACATACCTTGGCATCCTTATTAATTAACATTTCGTGGCTCTCATCTAGGGCAGCTGAACAAAATTCCATTCCTTTTATACTATTTACAAAAGCTCCTCTCCTAAAATGGTCTAGTATGTGATCCGGTAAAGCTTCCATCAAAGCGAGATGATGAGGAATCATTTTTGAGTAATTTACACGGTCAAAAGCATGGAAAAGAGGCACCATCTGCTTTATCGCACCATTCCTTAGGTCCCAATTCCCTGAACGAATCGCCAAAAACAATTGAATATAAGCCATGCAATCTACATGAATAAATGCATTCCAAAATTTGAAGGTCTCATATTTATCCGACATTTCGGTACAGTAATCATGAAAATCCTTTTTAAGCGAGAGATACATTGGAGATTGAAGCAAGACTTCTTGAGAATCTCTGAAAGCGCTACCATCAAACACACCATCTTTTACCTTCAATAACTTAACAACATCTTTAATTTGCTGCATAAACATATCGTTTGTGTATGTACATGCTTTACCACTTCTGTAGTCTAAGAAACATTTGAATTGAAATAGAAGAAGAGCTTCATGTGCTTGAAGTAAGAAACGCTGGGTTCGTTTAAAATTTGAACAGTTTGAAAGACTCTGAAGTGTAATAGTTTTGTGAGTTGCTTTGGCAATTTCTCGTAGGCCAGCATCCCAAAATATTTTCATGATAACCTCTTGATAATTCTTCAGAAAATGCCAGTCTCCTATGTAGGGTATAAACCAATCAAGAGACTCCCCATACTCCCTCTTTATTTCCAATAGCATTTTAAAGGTTGCACCATCACCAGATACAACCAGATGATTTACCTTCTTTGACACCTGAAAAAGATCATAAAGCAGTTCCATGCAATATTTCAACGTCTGTGGATGATCTGCTTTATGGTCAAGGATATAAAGATAAGAAAACTGAGATTTCTCAATATTCTGGTTTCGACTTTCAACAATTAACTTTGGTTTAAAGCTTGGAACTAAAATACTATTGTCATTAATAGTTGCAAATCGTTCTGCAGCATACAAAAACATCTTATCACATATTGAACTTAAAGCGACATTTTCATTGTCACTTATAGTAAATGTTTCCCAAGACACATTGGACCTCATGTATGTTTTAAATTTTGGTGGTTGAAAGTAATCCTTCCCAACTGCCAATGAAGGGTCGTGTAACTTGATTCTTTTTCTTGCCGACGGCTTTTTCTTTCCATCACTTTTAACCTGGGAGATTACTGAACTATCATTATTAACTTGAGAAATTAGTTCATATGTCGGATGCAACAACTCAGTTACTGGTTTGGGTTGTTGTGCCATTATAGAGGTTCCATGCCAGCTCCGTGGTTGATTAGGATTAACTGCTGCAAAAGAGGCTAAAACATCGATGTTGTCTATAGTAACATGGGTTACCGCACTCTCATTCAGACAAGATAAAAGACCTGAAGAATCCCTGGAATCTTGCACAGTCTGTAAAAATCGTTCCAAGGTAGCTTCTGAACAAGATAACCCAATTTGATTCATTAATTTCAAAAGTGTGGATGAATGTGAGTATCTTTTAATCAAATTTGCCATGATGATATGAAATGGATAAGTGGAAAAATCCGTTAAGGCATATTGCATGATGAATACGGCAACAACACGTCTCGTTTTTCTTCGTTTCCCATGTGATGATTCTTCATTTGGGAATTTAATGAAATCTTTCGTAAAACAGATAGAAGATTTTTTGAAAAACTTAAGCTCTTCTAAATTAGCTGTAAGAAGTGAAATAATATTCCAGATCAAAGGGTCGAAGCTGGCTAAAGCACTATCAAAATTGAATTCATCAACGGAAAGAGGGTTTTGAGTATAAGTTTGCGTAATATTTTTCGTTTGCATAACTAATCTTTCATTGGCATCAAGGATGACTTTCTGGTACATTAGGTCCATAGAACCACCTTCCCCATGTTTTCTCGTAATATCAACATTATCATCTTCTACACCTTTATTGAGAATTCTGATTTTAGCATGTGCATAGTGAACAGCATTCAGCAACTGTTCTGTGGAAACATTAGAAATATAATAAAATAATCCATGTTGCCTAGAAAGTTTGTGTTTTGATAATACATTCTGGAATGTTCCTTGTATCTTCCCACGAAACCATGTTACTGTTCTATAACAATCATCATATATCCAGTCGGTTTGGCAATTGGTCATAAGATTTTGTAAAAAAAGGTCATAAGCATCCATGAATAAGAATCCATGATTTTCCATGCACCATGAATATACAGTCTTTAGGGTCTGGTTACAAGTTACTAATAAAATTGACTCTGGTGTGTCATTTAATACCAACTCTGTGTCTAAAGTAAATTTGATATCACTTAATGTGTGTACAACTACCTCAGGAGAATTCCTGGTTGATAGATTATAACACTGTTTACAAATTATACTGTTGTCATCGACATTGAGTTCATCATTAATTTCACGTAATTTGAACAGGTCTACCTCTTGATTATTACACAAAGCATAGCGTTTAACAGTTGGACGTAAAGTGACAGAACATACACAACAGTATCCGAGTCCAGAAAAATTGGTTATGTGGGATCTGTGTTTTCTGCAAAGGGGGACTTCATCAGGGAGAGTGGCATAATTAAGACAGAATGTATTGTTAAATTCTTCCACATTTAATCTCGAGTCAAGCTCAGAAATATTGTGACATAAAAAATCATGCGACAGAAAACATGGAGGCCTTTCTTTTTTCCTTGATTTTTGTGGGGTATATTCAGGATTGTCTGCTTTTTTTGTATACTTTTGTCGGCATGCATTACAAATGCACTGATCATCTTGTATGTCAGGTTGTTTAGAACGAATTATATTAACTAACTTATCTGAACGTGCAGACCAAAGATGGAAACATTTAGAAACTATTGCCCGATTACATATTGCACAAGGGTCACTTCTGTTTTTTTTACACCTAAACACTGCCTTTTCTTCACCTGAGCTTTTCTTTTTCCTTACCCCAGCTGCTGGCTCAAAATAAAAAGTACATGGATCAATAACACAAATGTGGTCTCTAGACGGGTCGCTTGATGTTTTACATTGGTTGACTTGATTGTAGTGCTGACAGAAGTTGGATCAGTCGCGTGGGGGCACATTGTTGTCCAACATTGTATTCTCTGCATAAATGATAATTATTAAAAACATGAAGTTATTCAAAAGATATACATGTACATGCACAAATGTATGTTCAAATCAATTATGTTATCTTGGTATCTACATTGTAATTTATGTACATGTATAGTATTAGTAAAGTTTTAGTATGTACAATTGTACATACACATGTACAATACACGAAACATAAAATTCATTTGTTTATAAAGTTGAGCTTAAAATTACAATTATACAGTATGTACAGCTTTTAGTGTTCCACGAATCAGAGTACACAATAAGAATGATCATCAAAAGCCTAAAAATTATACATGTAATATGTTGCTTTTTAAGTACCAATCATCTCTAAGTTAGTCAACAAACTCTAAAGAGCAAACTACTTATTACATAAAAATAAAGGCAGAAGTTACCTTTTTCCTTTTCTTTCTCTTCTTGGATGCTACGTCACGACGGTGCTTCTGCCTCCCCTTCCTCTTTCGTAGGATGTAAGGACTAGATGGCTGTGGCAGACGGGTGCATATTTCTCTCGCCATCTTCCTCTGGTAGCATGTGTTGAGATGCAAGTATGGGATGAGGACATTACACCGATTTTCAGGAACAAACCTTCCAGGGGGCAATTCTACCTTTGTTGGTTGCGGGGCAGTCTTCCTCGGCGTAACATTCCCATCCCAATCGACACTCCACTTTGGGCGCCTCCCCCAGTGTCGTCGACGTGGTGGATGTCGCCTGCCTTCATTCTTCCTGCCGACCTTCTC